GGTCCGTCCTGAACCATTCTCAAGTCGATTGTGATGGTCCAGGTCCAGGACTTGGACATGGTCCAGGACGGACCGAAACGTCGTCGTCCCTTCACCTTCTAGTGTGTGGTGCATATGTTCATTTGACATGATTCCATGTGCCGTTACATGTTGAACAAACATGTTCCAAATGCGGGTTACTCTAGCAGTGAATGATCGCTGTTGACTGCTGAGCGCCTTGTGCTGTTATTGTCAGCTTCTGGTTGTCCACGAACTTGGACCAGATGGAGAACCTTGAGAACATTTGCCCTCTACAAAACAGTAAGTCTGCCGACATCTCTGCGGTATTGAAGATTCTGATGTACTGACCAGCTGAGTGGATAGCTCTTCGGATTCGTAGTCCTGAGGTTCCGGGTTCGATCCCCGGTGAAGGCGGAGACAAATGGGCAAAAAGTTTCTTTCACTCTGATGCCCTGTTACCTAGCAGTAAATAGGTACCTGGGAGTTAGACAGCTGCTACGGGGTGCTTCCTGGGGGGAGGGGGAGGGATGTAACGAAAAGGAAGCCTCGTCGAGGACCGGGGCGCAGGGACGCTAAGCCCCGAGATCATCTCAAGATAACCTCAAGATAACCAGGAAGACGTCAGAATCCACGTTTTTCCTGGTTGACTAACCAGTCGAACCTGAACTGGTCAGAACTAGAGAAATCTTCTTGCATATTTCACCACGTTGTCCGGAATTATGATAAATGAAGGGGGGGGGGGAGGCTGGCCCATCCAGGAGGAGGGTCCATACTCAAGATGAAAGTGAACTTTATCGTCAATAATCTTTAACATCAGCTGTCAAGAAGGTGTGAGATTTGCCATAAGGCTGCAAGTTTCTTGGCTGCTCTGCTTGCTTGTTTAAGCACATGACTTTTCATGGTCTATGAGGAGTCAGACTTCATTCCCAAGATGTCCACTTCGTCACTAAACAATTGGTTTCTGCCACTCATTTGTATATTTGTCAAAGTTGTAATATCATGTTGTCTTATTTGTTGTACATGGTTTATTTCCACTGTGGATAATCATTAGAGAGGTTGAATACTTTTCCTGGTATAAGTTTCAGCAAACAGTTGATTCAGCTAACCTGAGAGGGGACAGACTTCTAGTGAATAAGTAAAGGACAATCCGTCTTCAGAACAGATCTTACTAAGGGCCAATTGTGGATGATCGTTATTATTATTATTAACATCTTTATTGACAAATTTAATTACAATTTTCCCTAATCTGAGGATTTCAATTAAGCCTTATTAAAGTGAGGATAATGCTGGTATTCACTGTCACGCAGGACAGAGGGTCATACATAAGACAATTTGTCTAAACTGTAGGCTGAAGCACATATATATATCATGGTTACAATCAATGTTTTAATGTATGAATATGTGAAAAAAACTTCCTATTGTGCACTGCCACACAAGGGCAGGGATGGGTTCATAGGATGATCGTCGGCACAAAAAGAGCTCGGAGGAGCACATGGTCTCTTATGTACATTTCAGACACTACGTCTGTTACTCGAGTTCTGATGTGTTGGTTGTAGCAAATTATGTCTCACTTAGAAAGGCTCAGGGGTGACGTTTAACTCATTTATTTGCTCTTGAATGTTCTCATGTCCTCCAGAAAGGAATCCAGGGTGTACCATCATCCAAGGTACCATCAGTACCTTGGTATTCAGAGTACCATCATCCAAGAACCAGATGTTGTAGGACAGGCTTTCTGTGACTAAAGAATAAAAAGGAAAGCAGAATGGTAAAAGAATAGCCTGACTGGACAATTTACTCTGAATTAATTGCATGTTTCGTAAAGACTATCATAAAACAACTCCACGAGTATATGAATAGGTAGAGAAGGTTATGGCGCCGAATGACTTTTATTACTGCATCTCTACTGACCAAGTTGAAGGTATTATTTAAATCCAGTTTCATTCAGACTTTTTCCGGCTGTGATGTCTATAAAGAATTCTCGTGCTGCATGGGTTACTACTTTACATCTCTTTGGGAAACCCAAACCTGTGCTGTTCTGGTCTCACCACATCGGCTGATTCCTGGTTGACTGCTCTAGCACCCGCCTCACCACCGACGCACCGGAGGGACTAACAGCCCACAGCGATGGCTCTGATTTCAACATCCTTTTTATTGAAGGCGCAGAAGAACACGCAAAAGAGAATGGCCTGATGGCCTCAGGGAGGTTGTCAGCCAGGCATGTGTGGGCGAGGGTCATGAAGACCAACAGGATGACCTTTGTAATGTCACTGAGGGCATGTGATGACCTTTGTAATGTCACTGAGGGCATGTGATGACCTTTGTAATGTCACTGAGGGCATGTGATGACCTTTGTAATGTCACTGAGGGCATGTGATGACCTTTGTAATGTCACTGAGGGCATGTGATGACCTTTGTAATGTCACTGAGGGCATGTGATGACCTTTGTAATGTCACTGAGGGCATGTGATGACCTTTGTAATGTCACTGAGGGCATGTGATGACCTTTGTAATGTCACTGAGGGCATGTGATGACCTTTGTAATGTCACTGAGGGCATGTGATGACCTTTGTAATGTCACTGAGGGCATGTGATGACCTTTGTAATGTCACTGAGGGCATGTGATGACCTTTGTAATGTCACTGAGGGCATGTGATGACCTTTGTAAAGTCACTGAGGGCATGTGATGACCTTTGTAATGTCACTGAGGGCATGTGATGACCTTTGTAATGTCACTGAGGGCATGTGATGACCTTTGTAATGTCACTGAGGGCATGTGATGACCTTTGTAATGTCACTGAGGGCATGTGATGACCTTTGTAATGTCACTGAGGGCATGTGATGACCTTTGTAATGTCACTGAGGGCATGTGATGACCTTTGTAATGTCACTGAGGGCATGTGATGACCTTTGTAATGTCACTGAGGGCATGTGATGACCTTTGTAATGTCACTGAGGGCATGTGATGACCTTTGTAATGTCACTGAGGGCATGTGATGACCTTTGTAATGTCACTGAGGGCATGTGATGACCTTTGTAATGTCACTGAGGGCATGTGATGACCTTTGTAATGTCACTGAGGGCATGTGATGACCTTTGTAATGTCACTGAGGGCATGTGATGACCTTTGTAATGTCACTGAGGGCAATGTGATGACCTTTGTAATGTCACTGAGGGCATGTGATGACCTTTGTAATGTCACTGAGGGCATGTGATGACCTTTGTAATGTCACTGAGGGCATGTGATGACCTTTGTAATGTCACTGAGGGCATGTGATGACCTTTGTAATGTCACTGAGGGCATGTGATGACCTTTGTAATGTCACTGAGGGCATGTGATGACCTTTGTAATGTCACTGAGGGCATGTGATGACCTTTGTAATGTCACTGAGGGCATGTGATGACCTTTGTAATGTCACTGAGGGCATGTGATGACCTTTGTAATGTCACTGAGGGCATGTGATGACCTTTGTAATGTCACTGAGGGCATGTGATGACCTTTGTAATGTCACTGAGGGCATGTGATGACCTTTGTAATGTCACTGAGGGCATGTGATGACCTTTGTAATGTCACTGAGGGCATGTGATGACCTTTGTAATGTCACTGAGGGCATGTGATGACCTTTGTAATGTCACTGAGGGCATGTGATGACCTTTGTAATGTCACTGAGGGCATGTGATGACCTTTGTAATGTCACTGAGGGCATGTGATGACCTTTGTAATGTCACTGAGGGCATGTGATGACCTTTGTAATGTCACTGAGGGCATGTGATGACCTTTGTAATGTCACTGAGGGCATGTGATGACCTTTGTAATGTCACTGAGGGCATGTGATGACCTTTGTAATGTCACTGAGGGCATGTGATGACCTTTGTAATGTCACTGAGGGCATGTGATGACCTTTGTAATGTCACTGAGGGCATGTGATGACCTTTGTAATGTCACTGAGGGCATGTGATGACCTTTGTAATGTCACTGAGGGCATGTGATGACCTTTGTAATGTCACTGAGGGCATGTGATGACCTTTGTAATGTCACTGAGGGCATGTGATGACCTTTGTAATGTCACTGAGGGCATGTGATGACCTTTGTAATGTCACTGAGGGCATGTGATGACCTTTGTAATGTCACTGAGGGCATGTGATGACCTTTGTAATGTCACTGAGGGCATGTGATGACCTTTGTAATGTCACTGAGGGCATGTGATTACCTTTGTAATGTCACTGAGGGCATGTGATTACCTTTGTAATGTCACTGAGGGCATGTGATGACCTTTGTAATGTCACTGAGGGCATGTGATGACCTTTGTAATGTCACTGAGGGCATGTGATGACCTTTGTAATGTCACTGAGGGCATGTGATGACCTTTGTAATGTCACTGAGGGCATGTGATGACCTTTGTAATGTCACTGAGGGCATGTGATGACCTTTGTAATGTCACTGAGGGCATGTGATGACCTTTGTAATGTCACTGAGGGCATGTGATGACCTTTGTAATGTCACTGAGGGCATGTGATGACCTTTGTAATGTCACTGAGGGCATGTGATGACCTTTGTAATGTCACTGAGGGCATGTGATGACCTTTGTAATGTCACTGAGGGCATGTGATGACCTTTGTAATGTCACTGAGGGCATGTGATGACCTTTGTAATGTCACTGAGGGCATGTGATGACCTTTGTAATGTCACTGAGGGCATGTGATGACCTTTGTAATGTCACTGAGGGCATGTGATGACCTTTGTAATGTCACTGAGGGCATGTGATGACCTTTGTAATGTCACTGAGGGCATGTGATGACCTTTGTAATGTCACTGAGGGCAGGCAGGATATAGTTTAATGTTATCGGGGTGCCAGTCCTGTTGAGCCTTGTGGAGAATACTGTACTGTTTTATGTAGCTGTTATCTTCTGGTAACAACTACAGCTGGAACAAGCTTATGTAAGAAATTGTTCTTACTATGGTAGCTATGTATCTCACCCTTGCACTATCCACCTTAGCCACTATGTATCTCACCCTTGCACCATCCACCTTAGCCACTATGTATCTCACCCTTGCACCATCCACCTTAGCCACTATGTATCTCACCCTTGCACTATCCACCTTAGCCACTATGTATCTCACCCTTGCACTATCCACCTTAGCCACTATGTATTTCACCCTTGCACTATCCACCTTAGCCACTATGTATTTCACCCTTGCACTATCCACCTTAGCCACTATGTATCTCACCCTTGCACTATCCACCTTAGCCACTATGTATCTCACCCTTGCACTATCCACCTTAGCCACTATGTATCTCACCCTTGCACCATCCACCTTAGCCACTATGTATCTCACCCTTGCACTATCCACCTTAGCCACTATGTATCTCACCCTTGCACTATCCACCTTAGCCACTATGTATCTCACCCTTGCACCATCCACCTTAGCCACTATGTATCTCACCCTTGCACTATCCACCTTAGCCACTATGTATTTCACCCTTGCACTATCCACCTTAGCCACTATGTATCTCACCCTTGCACCATCCACCTTAGCCACTATGTATTTCACCCTTGCACCATCCACCTTAGCCACAATGTATCTCACCCTTGCACCATCCACCTTAGCCACTATGTATCTCACCCTTGCACCATCCACCTTAGCCACTATGTATCTCACCCTTGCACCATCCACCTTAGCCACTATGTCTCTCACCCTTGCACCATCCACCTTAGCTACTATGTATCTCACCCTTGCACCATCCACCTTAGCCACTATGTCTCTCACCCTTGCACCATCCACCTTAGCCACTATGTCTCTCACCCTTGCACCATCCACCTTAGCCACTATGTATCTCTTGCGCTACTACTTCTGCTCCTAAACCATCACGATACAACGCTCCAATGAATAAATTTTCCTGTGAATCTCGGGTTTTGGTCAGAGGAGCTGCTTTGTCTGACCTCATCTCCGCGGGCTCCTCCCAAGGGCTTGGTGAGGTTTGACCAAGATGGACTTTGCGAGTGAACAATAGTCTACTGAAACATGGATGTCTTTGAACCTATCATATTTGATCCGTGAAATACATAAGACACCTGTTCATCCTGGTTCCTGGTCTATTCTGATGCCCATATGTTTGAACCTGGTATATCTGGTCGCTGGTCTAAATTTTCTATATCCTATATCCTATATTAATGGAATATATAATGTAACCTATCATATGTAGACCCATGTCTACCTGAACCTTGCCATGGTAAACTATGTCTACCTGAACCTTGAAATAATATTTTATTATTACTGCAATTAGGTTGCAGCTCAGAATTTTTACCCTAGGTAACAATTTCTCAATTTCTTTCTTTATTATTGCACCCCATACCCATCCCGTGGGCGGTAATGTAAAGGATTACAGTAATTAACCACCAGCAACCTTGCCAATACTGACTGAGCTCATAGAGACATATAGTCATGTTGAATTACCTTGTCATGTCATTAGAGTACTAGGTACGGTAGTTTTCTGGTACCAGTAATATCAGCTGTCATTGAACTTCAACAAAATTCCTTCGTTCCTTGTCTGAAGAAAATTCCTGAGAACACAAAACTGTTGACAAGATAGAGGTGGATCTTAGGGGGTCTTCAAGAATTCCCAAGTACCTCACCATTGGGCTGGTGATAGACTTAAGGTCCTCATACGATACTCAACCCCAGTGATCATCAGGACCCTTAAGTCGCTTGCTACCATCAACCCTGAGATGGGTACCTGGGATGACCCTTCCCTCTGCAACCCATCCCTACCTTTCCTCCAGCTCTCCTCTCCCTGTATCTTTCTGCTCTATCTCTCACTACCCCATTTCTCTCTCTTCCTCCATCTCTCTCTCCTCCCCATCTCTCATCAGCCCTGAGGTGGGACCGGAGAAGCTGTCTCACCATTAGTCTTATCCACGCTGTTGATTCTTCGCATTAAATTACTAAATATAAAATAAAAATTCCATGACTAATTACTCTTGTCTTCCATTTCCGCCTTTCTCTCTGTCTCCTTCCTCTATACCATTACCTCCTCCCTCTATACCATTACCTCCTCCCTCTATACCATTACCTCCTCCCTCTATACCATTACCTCCTTCCTCTATACCATTACCTCCTTCCTCTATACCATTACCTCCTCCCTCTATACCATTACCTCCTCCCTCTATACCATTACCTCCTTCCTCTATACCATTACCTCCTTCCTCTATACCATTACCTCCTTCCTCTATACCATTACCTCCTCCCTCTATACCATTACCTCCTTCCTCTATACCATTACCTCCTCCCTCTATACCATTACCTCCTTCCTCTATACCATTACCTCCTTCCTCAATACCATTACCTCCTCCCTCTATACCATTACCTCCTCCCTCTATACCATTACCTCCTTCCTCTATACCATTACCTCCTTCCTCTATACCATTACCTCCTTCCTCTATACCATTACCTCCTTCCTCTATACCATTACCTCCTCCCTCTATACCATTACCTCCTCCCTCTATACCATTACCTCCTTCCTCTATACCATTACCTCCTTCCTCTATACCATTACCTCCTTCCTCTATACCATTACCTCCTCCCTCTATACCATTACCTCCTTCCTCTATACCATTACCTCCTCCCTCTATACCATTACCTCCTTCCTCTATACCATTACCTCCTTCCTCAATACCATTACCTCCTCCCTCTATACCATTACCTCCTCCCTCTATACCATTACCTCCTTCCTCTATACCATTACCTCCTTCCTCTATACCATTACCTCCTTCCTCTATACCATTACCTCCTCCCTCTATACCATTACCTCCTCCCTCTACACCATTACCTCCTTCCTCTATACCATTACCTCCTTCCTCTATACCATTACCTCCTTCCTCTATACCATTACCTCCTTCCTCTATACCATTACCTCCTCCCTCTATACCATTACCTCCTCCCTCTACACCATTACCTCCTTCCTCTATACCATTACCTCCTCCCTCTATACCATTACCTCCTTCCACTATACCATTACCTCCTTCCTCTATACCATTACCTCCTTCCACTATACCATTACCTCCTTCCTCTATACCATTACCTCCTTCCACTATACCATTACCTCCTCCCTCTATACCATTACCTCCTTCCTCTATACCATTACCTCCTTCCTCTATACCATTACCTCCTTCCACTATACCATTACCTC